GAAGAAATGAAATCATTACGTTTCCAAAAACCCGGTCATCCTAAGAATCGTGTTCCTAACTTGGCTTAAATCCCTTCCTTTGAGCGTCCGCCCGTTCCCCGTGCACACTGAGAACGCCATTTTCCCGGCAATCCTCCTCCCGATTATCACATGCGGCGGCACTATCTCCCCTTCTTCACCGCCGCAGTCCTCCTCCTCCTCCTCGAAATCATCCGCATCCGCCGCCGCGTATCGAAAAATTCCGTGGGCAGGTATATTCACCGGAAGCGAACTCGTTATCTTCGTTTTCTTCTTCTTCTTCTTCTTCTTCTTCCCGATATTATCGGTAATATTATTATTTTCACTCCTTCCATCTCTCATTTCTTGGTAATCAAAATATCCATCGACATCCTCCTCACGCGTGCTGTAACGATGGTGATCATGATCGGAGAAAATTACCTCGGACTCTTCGAATTCTTCCGCCATGGTTAAATTGAGAAGAGGGAAATTGAGAGGGGTTGTATCTTCGGTAATTGGAATGGAACTGTCAAGGAAGGGGAGAGGGGAAAGCGGTGGGGATTTATAGGAGGGGCGAATCTAAATCGTAGTGAGGACACTATCGGTTGTTTGTGTCGTGAGATGGCGTCAGTGAAAGGATGTTGAGTGCGGTCCCCGCTTCGGTTGTGTATGAGTTTGTAAATAATGGAGTAATCCAGTCGGCTGCCTCCTTTTCTTGTGACTCACGGCTTTCTCTTGTTTAAGCTTTCATCCTTTGATTTTTTGACTTGACTTCGTTGGCTCAGCCTAACCTTTCCGAGTTCTCTTCGAATAGTAAAAGATGTTTGTAGGTTCTTGTGCTATCTCTATGGTAGTAATATACTAATTAATTGATTTTCCTTTTTGTGTCATTAAAACATACTCTTTTAAAATTTAAACAGAAGTTTTACAAAATAATATACTAATTAATTAATTGATAAATAGAAAAAAATGTAACAAAAGCTTCTTTGATTTTTTTTTTTCTAACGCATAATACTCATTAAGCAAAATAAATTGTTAATGGATTTGTATTTTATTGGAAGAAAATTTAAAAATTACTTTTTAAGGTAATTTTAAACAAGTTTAAAAAAACTTGAACCTATAGTTTTCTTAAAATTTATTTAAAAATTACTTTAAAAATCAAAATTTGATATTTCCTTCAACAAAATTTTAAATTTGTGAAACAATAATTTACTTTTTAAGTTTTGTCAAATACCCTTTTAATTAAATCATACTTGTACCCCTTTTTTTAGGTAATTGACAAAATAATAAAAGAGAGACGATTTTTTAGTTTTCAAATGATAGGGTAAGGCATCCAAGTTTGAACATAGGTATCATACACGGAAAGAGACAATCTTACCACTAGTTACAACAATTTTGGTAGCAATAAAAGAGATACATTAAGAAGTAAAAATGAGTTAATTAAAATGGTATTTGTACCTTTAGCTTAGGTAATTGACAAAACAATAAAAGAGAGACATTTTCTAGTTTACAAAGGATAAAGCAGGGATCTAAGTTTGAATATAAGTATTATACATAAAAAGGAGACAATCTTGCTACTAGCTATAGCTATTTGGTAGCAAAAAAACAGAGACGTTTTCTAATTTGCAAAGAATAAAGTAGATATTTAAGTTTAAATATAAGTGTCATACATGAAAAGAAGACAATCTTGCTACTAGCTATAGCTATTTTGGTAGCAATAAAGGAGAGACGTTTTCTAATTTACGAAGAATAAAGTAGATATCTAAGTCTAAATATAAGTATCATTTACAAAAAAAAATGATTATGCTCCTAGCTACGACTATTTTAGTAGCAATAAAAAATTAGATACGTTAAGAAATAAAAAAGAGTTAATTAGAATTTGGAATGGTATTAAACCTTTAGCTTATACAATTGACAAAACAAATAGAAGAGAGAAATTTTTTAGTTCACAAAAAATACGGTAGGCATCTAAGTTTGAATACGAATACCATACACGGAAAGGAAACGACCTTAATTACCTCTTCTTCAACAGTAGTAGTGGTAATAAAAACAATAAATATGTTTACAAAAAGTAAAGCTGAGTAATTAGAAAATACTGTTCTACTACTTTTTTGGTAACATTAAATGGAGAAATTCAAACCAAAATATTAGATAATTTAAATGCGATGTGGAAAAAGTCAATCAAAATACCCTTTTTAGATTTGACTTTTTGAGCTATAAGCATTACTAAAAAAAAAAAACTGGCATAAAATCAAAATTAGCTACTACATAACATTTTATAATTATTATATACTTTAATTGAAGCCTTTAATTATTTTTATTACAATTATAAATATTCAAATTGAAAGATATTAATTCAAAAATACTTTTGAAGAAATTGACTAATTTTATAATTTTTTTTTGTTCATAATTAAAAAAATTAATAGTACTTGTTTCCAGGGCAGAAATCTGTCGACATTTACTTTGGGTTCATACATCTGTCGTCATTTTTTCACACTAATTAGTAATTACTAACGACAAAAGCAGCTTCAGTAAAGGAAGAAAATGGAACCAACGAGGGTTTGGATCAAGTGGTAAGCAGTTTGTTTCAGTTTAAATAAGATCTCGAGTTCGAGATCTTGTATATGCAGCAGCCTCCACTGAAAAACTCAACCATTATTTCCAGGTGTGCGACGCGAGTCGAGTCTAGATTAGTCGAGATGAAACCCTGTATACCAGGGGAGAAATAAAAAAAAAAAAATGGAGGGCCAGATTGAAGCCAAGAAAGAGCCGAGCCGAGCGGAGGCAAGGGTTTTTGCAAGTTGCCGCGACGATAGCGGAGAACGAAAAGAAAGCTGTAATATTCACCAATGATTGGGGGAAGGCGTTGGGGTAAAGCTATAAAACCACAAGCTCGGCGCATCCCACGGCTCATGCGCTGCAGAAGAGGGGGAGTGGGGTCATAGGTGCGGTGGGGTCGGGTGTGGTTATTGAAATTTCATTTTTTTTTTCTTAGTGTTGTTAATATTAGTAAGGTTATTGAATTTTTTTAAATAGTATTAAAAAATATTAGTTTGTTATTGTAATTATTTTAATTTATTAGTTAGTGTTTTTCTAATTTATTTTTAGTAAGTTTAACTTAATTTTTAATTTTTTAAATATAAAT